AGATAAAATCCAATACCAGGGTCCTGTGCTTGAACAAGGGGAACTACAATAGAATGAGGGAGGACTTGGCTAAAGTAGACTGGAAACAAAGATTTCATGGTGGGACAGTTGACGAGCAGTGGAGGACTTTCAAAGCAATTTTTCAAAGTGCTCAGCAAAAGTATATTCCAGTGAAAAGGAAGGACTGTAAGAAAAGGGGTAATCTGCCATGGGTGTCTAAAGAAATAAGGGAGGCTATCAAATTGAAAGAGAAGGCATACAAAGTGCCCAAAAACAGCATGAAACTAGAAGATTAGGAAAACTTTAAAGGTCAACAGAAAGCCACAAAAAGAGCTATAAAGAAAAGTAAGATAGAATATGAGAAAAAACTAGCACAGAATATAAAGACAGATAGCAAAAGTTTCTATAAATATATAAAACGAAAAAGAGTGGCTAAAGTAAACGTTGGCCCTTTAGAGGATGAGAAGGGGAATTTAGTTGTGGGATATGATGAAATGGCCGAGGCATTGAACAGGTATTTTGTATCGGTCTTCACAGTGGAGGACACTAATAACATGCCAAGAGACGAAGGTAGGTGAGGACCTAGAAACAGTCATTATTATGGAAGCGGTAGTGTTGGGCAAGCTAATGGAGCTAAGGATTGATAAGTCTCCTGGCCCTGATGGAATGCATCCCAGGGTACTAAAAGAGATGGCGGGAGAAATAGCAGGTGCACTGGTGGTAATTTTCCAAAATTCGCTGAACTCTGGGCAGTCCCAGCAGATTGGAAAACAGCAAATGTGATGCCACTGTTTAAAAAGGGAAGTAGACAAAAGATGGGGAATTATAGACCAGTTAGCTTAACCTCTGTAGTGGGGAAGATGCTTGAGTCTATTATCAAGGAAGAAATAGCAAGGCATCTTGATAGAAATTGTCCCATTGGGCAGATGCAGCATGGGTTCATGAAGGGCAGGTCATGCTTGACAAATCTTTTGGAATTCTATGAAAAGATTACGAGCAAGGTGGACAATGGGGACCCAGTGAATGTGGTGTACCTAGATTTCCAAAAGGTCTTCGACAAGGTGCCACACAAGAGGCTATGGCATAAGATAAGGATGCATGGCATTAAGGGTAAAGTATTAGCATGGATAGAGGATTGGTTGACTAACAGGAAGCAAAGAGTGGGGATTAAAGAGTGATATTCTAGCTGGCAGTCAGTGACTAGCGGTGTGCCTCGGATCGGTGTTGGGACCGCAATTATTTACAATTTATATAGATGATTTGGAGTTGGGGACCACGTGTAGGGTGTCAAAGTTTGCAGATGACACTAAGATGAGTGGCAGAGCAAAGTGTGCAGAGGACTGTGAAACTTTGCAGAGGAATATAGATACATTGAGTGAGTGGGCAAAGGTCTGGCAGATGGAATACAATGTAAATAAATGTGAAGTCATACATTTTGGTAGGAGTAATAGTAAAAAGGATTATTACTCGTCATACATTTTGGTAGGAGTAATAGTAAAAAGGATTATTACTTGAATGGTAAAAAGTTGCAGCATGCTGCTATGCAGAGGGACCTGGGTGTCCTTGTGCATGAATCACAGAAGGTAGGTTTGCAGGTACAAGTAATTAGGAAGGCAAATAGAATTTTGTCCTTCATTGCTAAAGGGATTGAGATTAAAAGCAGAGAGGTTATGTTGCAGCTGTACAAGCTGCTGGTGAGGCCACACCTGGAGTACTGTGTGCAGTTTTGGTCTCCTTACTTGAGAAAGGATGTACTGGCACTGGAGGGGGTGCAAAGGAGGTTCACTAGGTTGATTCCGGAGTTGAGGGGGTTGGCTTATGAGGAGAGACTGAGTAGATTGGGATTATATTCATTGGAATTCAGAAGATTGAGGGGGGATCTTATAGAAACATATAAAATTATGAAGGGAATAGATAAGATAGAAGTAGAGAGGATGTTTCCACTGGCAGGTGAAGCTAGGACAAGAGGGCATAGCCTCAAGATTAGAGGGAGCAGATTTAGAACTGAACTGAGAAGGAACTTCTTCACCCAGAGGGTTGTTAATCTATGGAATTCCTTGCCCAGTGGAGTAGTTGATGCTACTTCAGTAAACGTTTTTAAAGATAAGGTAGATTTTTTTTGAACAATAAAGGAATTAAGGGATACGGTAAGAACGCAGGTAAGTGGATCTGAGTCCACGAAAAGATCAGCCATGATCTTATTGAATGGCGGAGCAGGCTCGAAGGGCCGGACGGCCTACTCCTGCTCCTAGCTCTTATCTTCTTATGTTCTTATGTACCATTGTAGATGGAGCAGGGACAGAGATAGATGCATTAAATTATGTGGATATTGCGACTTTACAGAATAAGATTGCTAAAGTTGGGCAACTCACTGGGAGGCTATTAAATTATCTGCTGTATGGACCAAACCATCAGCACATAGAGATTTAGCAAAATGGTTTCTGACCAACATAGTTTGGAAGATTGTTGATAGCCCCATCTGGAGCATCACACCCAGAAGGATTTTAATGCAGAAGCTATTTGTAATTTGTTAGAGTGATATTGTTTGAATGCACCACTATCCAATTTCGAAGGGTACCTCTATGTGACATTTGAAACTCTGCAGGCTTTCCATGCATATTAAAACAGGTTCACTCTCATCTGGCAACAGTGTACCATGACCTACAGCCATGATTAATTAATTTGTGAGAGTGAACAATTGAGGATGTTTTGCTCTGTGGTGGGACATATTTAAGGGATGGTCACCCAGTTATTGCATTATTGCTGTTTGTTTGCTTCTTGTTTGAATTCACCTGTATAATGGCTTGTAAACTTTGTCACGTTTAATTAGCTTGCAACCATTGAACAACACATGGTTCTGGTTATCTGGTTCGAAGACGTGAAAGGAGTTTAGTGTATAGATCCAAAAAAGATATCTCAAAGCCAGATCATTAAGGTTGAATAGAACATGGCAATAAGCGGTTGATGGAAAGTGGAAAAATATGTGAACGCAGGCTTTTTTTTTGCAAGAAAGTGGCCTTGGCCTGAGAACCGACCATTTTGCAGTGACAACTGGATTTGTTTTTCTTGTCTTTGTGACTACCAATTGTTCGATTACTTGATACGTGTTAAGTAATCTAACATATTTGCACTTTTATCGAAGCGCACATATCCAAGCAATGTTGACTCTCCCTTGTCTATCCAACTACATATAAATTCTGTTTTTCAGGATTCCCTTCAACAACATACCCATCACTGATGTCAGGCTCACCGGTCTATAGTTCCCTGGCTTTTCCTCACCACCTTTCTTTAACAATGGCACCACATTAGTCTCCAGGCTTCTGGCACCTCACCTATGGCTATCGATGATGCAAATATCTCAGCAAGGGGCCCAGCAATTACTTCACTAGCTTCCCACACAATTCTAGGGTACACCTGATCAGGTCCCGGGCATTTATCCACCTTTTCTAAGTTTTAAGCTGTCCAGCACCACCTCCTCTGTAATATGGATACCTTTCAAGATGTTGCTGTTTATTTCCCCATGTTCTATATCTTCCATATCCTTCTCCACAGTAAACACTGATGCAAAATATTCACTTAGTGTCTCCCCCATATCCTGCAGTTCCACACAAAGGCAGCCTTGCTGATCTTTAAGGGGCCCTATTCTCTCCCCTAGTTACTGTTTTGTCCTTGCTGTATTTATAGAATCCCTTTGGATTCTCCTTAACCCTATTTGCCAAAGCTATCTCATGTCCCCTTTTTGCCCTCCTGATTTCACTCTTAAGTGTACTCCTACTACCTTTACACTCCTCTAGAGATTCACTCAGTCCCTGCTGCTTATGCATGACATATGCTTCCTTTTTATTGACCAGATCCTCAACTTCCCTAGTCATCCAGCATTCCCTATACCTACCAGACCTGCCTTTCACCCTAACAGGAACGTACTGTCTCTGGACTCCCATTATCTCATTTTGAAGGCTTCCCATTTCCCAGCCGTCCTTTTACCTGTGAATATCTGCCCCCAGTCAACGTCTACTATTATTACAGATAACAGATCTCCTTGCAAATTTGCGTCTCAATTCCTGCTGAGTATTGGGGGATGTAGGGTACAATCCTAATAAGGTGATCTGTTGCCAAACTTGTTGACTTTCTCCAGCATTTTGTGTTTTAGGCCTTTATGAATCAGTGCTTAGAACCATGGGATGACCTTATTGAAACAAACAAGACAGTAAGGTGGGGTTTGACGAGATAGATGTTGAGAGGGAATATCTCGAGCTGGGGCACACTGTTACAGAACAATGGGATTCTCATTTGAAACTGAGAAGGGAAGGAAATTTTCCACTCAGAACTGGCATAAAAGTGGAGTTGAGGCCTGAGGCAGATGAGCCACTATCTGTTGAATCTATTGAAATACGTGGATGGCCTTGAGGGGATGAATGGCTTACGCCTGCTCTTATTTCTTCTGTTTATTCCGACACCCTTACTCTTAGTCCTGGATAGAAATTCAAAGAGCCATTTTTTTTTCTAGGATGAAAGTTGCTGTGCATAAAGGCTCCCTTTCTATCGTACAGTCAAAGCAGTTTCCAGATGCAAGGGTTGCAGTTTCGAATTGGGGTCTTGATGGAGGAATGGCCCTGTCTCAAGGTTCAGCCCCTTGCACCTTTAAATCCCACCCTCGGTCCTTCCAGTTCCAGTGCCGGCGTTGCGCATGCTTCGCCCTGCAGTCCCGTCCCGCCCCTTTATTGACTCTGCGATAACAAGGTGTAGAGCTGGATGAACACAGCAGGCCAAGCATCCTCTGATACTGCGTGGCCTGCTGTGTTCATCCAGCTCTGCACCTTGTTATCTCAGATTCTCCAGCATCTGCAGTTCCTACGACCTCTGTCAAATGGTCCTCCAGGCACCGCCCCCTTACTCCACATTGGTCCGAACATCCGTCAATCATTCGTCCACATGGCTGCGCAGCACGCGTTTGTATCTGGAGCGCCTGTGCACATGCGCAAACGCTATTTTAGTAGCTGCCTCAAAGCAGCTTCAGGGTCTTGTCTCCAGTTGTAACCATTAGTTAGAATGAGTTGGAGATAATTATCCAACTTTTCATAGGGGTTTCACCCAGGAAAGAGGGTGGGAGACAGAGAGAGTGTGTGGGACGGGGATTTACAATTTGCAGGGAGCAAGAGAGGAAAATATTTCACCGAAACTGTAATTGCGTGATTATGATTTCTCTGCTTTACTGACAGTGAACGAGTTTGTCATCTCCTGCCACAGGGATTAGAAGAGCAAGGTTTAGATCAGGAAACCCAAACGAAAGATCAGGTCGAGATCTGCATGCATCAGGAGCTGAACATCACTGCCCTCTGATTGTGCAAGGAGAAATGTTTGCTTTGTCTTAGGGGGAAAGATTGCAAACATCAGTGTGACTGGAAAATCACCGAGACACAGAAACATCTGAATAAGAGTGTTCTGGTGAACTGACTGTGGAAAGCGCTTTAACCAATTGCACAGACAGAAGAATGACTTGCACCATTTAGAGGAGAGCCTGTACACGGGTTGTCTGTGTGGGTAAGGATTGAACTGATCCTTCAAACTGGAGTAACACAAAGATACTGGCACTATGGAGAAACCGTGTAAATGTGTGGAGTGCGGTAAGGGATTCAGATTTCCATCCAGGCTGGATGTTCATTGGCGCAAGCACACAGGGGAGAAACCATTTACCTGCTCCAAGTGTGAGAAGGGATTTGCTCGTTTATCCAGCTTACAGATACACCAGAGACGTCATGCCGGGGAGAAATCATTCATCTGCACCACATGTGGTAAGTGGTTTGCTAATTCATCTGATTTACATGAACACCAGAAGGTTCACACTGGGGAGAAACCATTCACCTGCTCTGAGTGCGGGAAGGCATTTGCTCAGTCATCCAAATTACATGAACACCACAGAACTCACACTGGGGAAAAACCTTTCACCTGCTGTGACTGCGGGAAGGGATTCACTCAGTCATCCGCCCTACATGTGCACCAGCGAATTCACACAGGAGAAAAACCATTCACGTGTTCTGAGTGTGGGAAGAGTTTCACTCAGTTATCCCACTTAGATTCACACCAGAGAACTCACACTGGAGGAAAACCATACCTCTGTCCTGAGTATGGGAAGAGATTCATTCGGTTATCCAACTTACATCAACATCAGGGAACTCACAGTGGAGAGAAACCATTCACCTGCTCTGAGCAAGGGAAGGGACGTGTTCAGACTTCCAAATTATATAAGCACCAGAGAACTCTCACTGGAGAAAAAACGTTTACCTGCTCTGACTGCGGGAAGAGATTCACTCAGTCATCCACTTTACGTGTGCACCAACGAATTCACACTGGAGAAAAACCATTTGCCTGCCCTGAATGTGGAAAGGGATTCGCTCAATTATCCAACTTACATCAACACCAGAGAATACACACTGGAGAAAAGCCATTCACCTGTCCTGAATGCAGGAAGGGATTCGCTCAGTTATCTAATTTACATCAACACCAGAGAACTCACACTGGAGAAAAACCATTCACCTGCCCTGAATGCGGGAAGAAATTCACTCAGTTAGCGAACTTAGAATCGCACCATAGAACGCACACTGGTGAAAGACCGTTCCCCTGTCCTGAGTGTGGGAAGAGATTCATTCGGTTATCCACCTTACAGCAACACCAGGGCACTCATAATAGAGAAATACGGTTCACCTGCCCTGACTGTGGGAAGGGATTCACTTACTCCTCCACTTTACTTAGGCACCAGAGAACTCACACTGGAGAGAAACCGTTTCCCTGTCCTGAGTGCGGGAAGAGATTCACTCGGTTATTCAACTTACATCAACACCGGCGAACTCACACTGGAGAAAAACCACTGCCCTGTCCTCAATGTGGGAAGGGATTGGCTCAGTTTTCCAACTTACATCAACATCGGAGAACTAACGCTGGAGAAGAACCATTGCCCTGTCCTGAATGCGGGAAGGGATTCGCTCAGTTATCCAACTTGCAACAACACCAGAGAACTCAAACTGGAGAAAGACCATTCACTTGTCCTGAGTGTGGGAAGTCTTTCACTCAGTTCTCCAACTTGCGTCAACACCAGAGAACCCACGCTGGAGAAAATCTGTTCCCCTGTCCTGAGTGCGGGAAGAGATTCACTCGGTTATCCAACTTACATCAACATCAGGGAACTCACACAGGAGAAAAAACATTTACCTGCTGTGACTGCGGGAAGAGATTCACTCAGTCATCCACCTTACGTGTGCACCAACGAATTCACACGGGAGAAAAACCATTCGCCTGCCCTGAATGTGGAAAGGGATTCGCTCAGTTATCCAACTTACATCAACACCAGAGAATACACACCGGAGAAAAACCATTCACCTGTCCTGAATGCGGGAAGGGATTTGCTCACTTATCCAACTTACATCAACACCAGAGAACTCACACCGGAGAAAAACCATTCACCTGCCCTGAATGCGGGAAGAGATTCACTCAGTTAGCCAACTTAGAATCGCACCATAGAACTCACACTGGCGAAAGACCGTTCCCCTGTCCTGAGTGTGGGAAGAGTTTCATTCGATTATCCACCTTACAGCAACACCGGGGCACTCACAGTAGAGAAATACGGTTCACCTGCTCCGACTGTGGGAAGGGATTCACTTACTCTTCCACTTTACTGAGGCACCAGAGAACTCACACCGGAGAGAAACCGTTCACCTGCTCTGACTGCGGGAAGGGATTCGGTCAGTTATCCCAATTGCATCAACACCAGAGAACTCACACTGGGGAGAAACCGTTTCCCTGTCCTGAGTGTGGGAAGAAATTCACCCGGTTATCCAACGTGTATCAACACCAGAGAACTCACACTGGAGAAAAACCGTTCACCTGCCCTGAATGCGGGAAGAAATTCACTCAGTTAGCGAACTTACGTTCACACCAGAGAACTCACGCTGGAGAAAAAATGTTCAACTGTTCTGACTGTGGAAAGAAGTTCGCTCAGTCATCCAAATTATGTGTACACCAGCGATCTCACACTGGAGAGAAACCGTTCTCCTGCCTCGAGTGCAAGAGGAGTTTCACTCAGTTATCTCACTTACGTTCACACCAGAGAACTCACCGTAAACTGTGCACTGTCAGGAAGGGGAGATCACTTCCAGAGTGAAAGACAGCCTGAGTGAGTATATGGTTGAGGGAATTTGTAGGCAGTGTTGGAATTCGGTGCAGAGATGCTGTTTGCTTCCTTTTCTGTCTTGTTGTTTGTAAGGTCTTTTTAGAATGATAAATTGAAGCTGAGGATTGGGGCCCAGCACAATACAAAGAGTGACATCTTAGTAAGACAATAACTTCATTGGTTGGTTACAGCTACTGATTTGACTGTCTGTCATAGGTTACTTTCAGATTGAGGTAAAATAGGGTAAATATTTACAGGTTCCAAACTGAGAGATTAGTCGGTAATTTTCAAAAAATCAAATTAAGAATGAAGTAAATAAGCTGGAGATGCAGGACCAGGTGATGTGTTGTACCTGTATGATGTGGGAGCTGGTAGACCCCACCGTGGTTGGTAGTGACCACAGTGGTGGTTGTTTGAGGAACTGTGGCTCAGAGTTGGTGAGCTGGAATCTGACTTTGGGATATTCCGACACATTAGGGAGAAGGAGAGTTACCTGGATTATTAGCTGAAATTCCCTCCTTTTTTCCCCCAAGGTGTTACTTCAACCTGTCAGACAAGACAAAAGGTTGGTAGTGGAGGTTAGATATTAGGCTAAAGATAGAAAGAGAGAAAGGTGGGGTGAGCAGAGAATGTGAATCTCAGGCTAGCGGTTCAGATCTCCTGATGTGCTAAAACCCCCAGCTGAGCAGCTCTATGACGGTTTGGTGAGGAAAGAGCTGAAGCCTTTGAAAGAGTTACTGTGTTGGGTTGTGTAGTGATAGGAACCAGGTTGACCTCGCTGACTACGAGCTTATTGATTGGTATTGTTAACCTGGGCCAATCAGGAAACCCCGGGCTGACTAATACAGCCAGGAGATGAGAATCTCCTCAGTTCAGAGGATTGATTCCGAGCTGGCTGGCCACAGCCGGTGGTACTGCTATACTGGTAAAATGAAAGGATAATTTGGTAATAGGACCCAGCTTTTGTGCCACTGTTTCAGCGTATGGGTCCTAGATTGAACTTTGGGGTGTGGACCGGACCTTTGTGAGTCGACCGTGCCTCAGCGTTTGTTGGGCCATACCTTTGTGCTCGTACTACGTCTTCATGTCTGGACTATGCTTTTGTGTATGTATTGTGACTTTGTGTGTCCCCACCATCTGTAGGCAAACCGATTGCTTCGGAGACTGTATGTTTGCCTGTATGATTTTGTACTGCCGTTTGAACTGAACTGTTTCTATATGATATTTCATGTCAATGTCTCTGCTCTTTGGCAAATTACCTGATGTATGTTGACCTTGCCATGTGTCGTGTTTGGGACGCTGTTATCTTTTATGGACTTGAATCAACTTTTTGAACTGGGATGTTTTTCTGTAGGATGTTCTCTGTTGACTTGACTTCGATGTATTGTGACTGATGTTACGTGCTGTGTCTGTGACACTAACTTATGTGAATTTTGAAGAGTCTAACCAGGAGATGAGAATCTCTTCAGTTCAGAGGACTGACTGCAAGCTGGCTGGCCAGTGCCAGTGTACTGTGCACAAGTAAATAAAGGGTGACTTGCTGACAGGACACCGGCTTCTATGCAGTTATTTTAAGTTGATTCCTTCTTCTGGTCAATCTCCCTAACAATAGGAAGCTCATCCTACGGCTCCTTGTCGAAAATAATTTTCCAGTTCGACCTTTACTGCTCCAGTCACAGTCATCTGTTCTTTGCTTCAGGCGGTCTCGCCTTGGTTCCTTACCAATCAGGCACTCGGTGTGTCTCCTTTCCGGAAGTCATCCTTTCTCGGACCTTGCTGCTCAAGCTCCAGCCTTTGACCCCCCAGGGAGGGCTGAGGAGGTTTGGCGTTGTTACTCCAGCCCCTTGTTTTTCCCTGCAGATTATAACCTCTGTTGCATATTTTTTTGCACCTGTTACAACGTTATGGGATTAAGTTCCCTCTTAGCTTTGGTTGGCTTTCTGCAGTTATGAAATGACCATGAGTGGGTGTCTGTCTGTAATGGGGGTAAACACGAATGTGGTACGGTGCATCAGATATTAAACTAACAACAAAATTTCCTTTTGTTGCAGCGAACTGATGATGTGGTGACTGCTGCAGTACCTGTGTTTCCTTCCTCCTGCCTTGTTTGACATGAGATCTGCCATCACCTGCATAATCTCACCATAGGATACGATCTAGAGGATGGAGTAGTCATAATAATAACTGTATGCAAATTAATTTTAATTGTTCACCGGGTGAAAAGTGTACTTTGCTGAACTTTACTTACACATGTAACAACCTATGTTCCCAACAAATCCAGGGAACAGGAACTAAACATGCTACTGTTACTGTATGACGTGGAATTACACTGCGCCCCCGATTATCTGTACGAAAGTAGGTGGCAATAACTACATCTCACCACTGACCTGACACAAGACAATCTGAAGACAGTGCCTAAAGTAGGCCGTGTCTGACAGTAGCTCATGTGAAAATTGGTGTAATATAGTGCTTTGAAATGGTGACTGGTTATTATGTCCAAGATGTTACAGAGATAAAGAGACATGATTCTGGGATGTGGGGTTATGGTGGGGTGAGTGGAAGGACCTTTCCAATGACATTTAGATACCCCATCTTACAGTGGGTTGTGTGATACATGTATCCTGGTGTTCAAACAAAATATTGTTTTGACTGTGACAGTGGAAATAACTAATGGAAATAAAAATTCCCCTTCCATTGCTGCCCTTTACACACAACATTAACATGACAGAGGCGCGGTAGAAACGATGTACTGCCGGGACGGTAAGTTTTCCCTCTCAAAGGGCTTACCTCGAGCGTCAGCGGCCTTCATTTCTCAGCAGCAGAGGGAGAGGCGACAGCGAGGGCCAGGGGGCTGCCGGGAC